ATTAGTGTAATAAAAAAGAGATTCACGTGATAACATGATATTGTCTAATGTTGGTATAAGGTTAATCATATGTGTCAGTTAAAAAAAAGGAAAATAGTCACCGAAAATTGAAGAAAGAAAATTGTTTATTAATCTCTTATCATACTAAAAGAAATTCCATAGGGTTTTTAACTTGATAAGTGTTTTTTCACCATTTCAATTAGATTTATACTTGTGTTAGACGAAATATTAAATGAATGTGAAAATGGTGACATTGGCAGGACATTAAAGGGGTATGGACATAGTTGACCAACGCAAATTAATAGACAAAGTTTAACAGATATCTTCAAATATCAAATATGTATCGCCTTTCTGGCGAATCACATTCAAACTTCTATTTACATGACCTTTTCTTACAAGCATACTTTAAAAGTTAAATGTCGAATGATAACCTATAACGGTGATAACGAAGCAATAATTTGATAAGGACAGGGAATAGCAACACTCGAAGCAAATTAATCTTAAATATTATTTCCTTTTTTAATTGAAATTCAGAATTCATTTGACACAACTAATTGATTATATTTAATTTCTTTGATTTTTTTCCAAATAATTACATATTCACATCACTTTATTTTCCCAATTTATTTTAACCTTTGCTTTTTTGTTTTCAATGGAAACTTTTTGTTCAATTATTTTCAATTTCTTGGTTTTCATTTCAGCAAGTCAGTGAAGTTTTTCAGTCAGTCATTAAATAAACTGCCTCAATTATGTATATAATTTGTCAAATGATTAATTATTCTTTTATTTGGTTAGATGAACCAAAAGTACAAATATTACCGCACATTTTTGTTCCCATTTAGTCTGATTATGATGTCTAATCCAGTTTCAAAATTAATTAAAAATTGAGTTAATTTATTTAAATGGTAATTTAAACATGATTAATCGAAACCATCTAAAAATCAATATTTCGTTTGAGAAGTGTGTAACTGATTTATCATTCAAATTAATAATTGTGAAGAAAGCCAAAGTTTTGGTATATAGCTTGAAAATGGAAAAGTTAGCCGAGTAATTGAAAGTGCTATCTTGCAATACATATTTTTTTTTTTTTTACCTAATAAGTTAACGAATAGATAGACGAAACGAATCTTTCCAAATTAACGACAGGAGAGAAAACAAACCTTCATGATGAAGCTATATCGGAATATTAATAATGTGTAATTGACCACTACTGTCCGCTGTACTTATTGCATCTAAGTGGCTGATGGATATGAAGTGACCTAATTTCATACTGAAATAGTCAACGAACTTGGAATGACCAACTTCGCAAACCTTTGCTCACTTTTATGCATTCCTTCTCTTTCATTAAAACAGTTTATTGATAATTGCAAGAGATGATTTATCTGTTAAATAATACATACAGCATTTGTTGTAAACTTAGATGATCAAATAGATGGTACTGAGAATGTGATAATAAGTTTCTCTTCATTCAATAATTTATTCACATATTTTTGCTCTAACTAAATAAATTACAACTCTGATTAATTAAATTTCAGTAAAAGAAAGGGAATGAAGGAATAGTAGAAAATAAATGAAAATTAACATGATTTCAAGCATTGTCAATTGTGCAATATGAATTAATGTGCTAATGTAGTAAATATAACAAAACAAAATTTATGGACGAAAATATCTTCAATATCTCACAAATGCTTCATATTTTTCCTAAATTTTCTAATTTTTAATTATTATCAATGGTAGTATTACAATTAGTTTTGATAAACAATAATGTCATAACAAGATGCAGCTTGAAAAAAAAAAATGAAATAAAAAAAGAGAAGAAATTTCATTTTTTAAGTGTCGGATTTTTGAAAAATTTCAAGTCACAGTTTAATATGGAATAACATCGCACATGTATCGGTCGGGTGTCACATTTGTCACCAAAATAATGATTTGACACTTTCATTGTAAATGGATCGGTTAAAAATTTTTTCATTTCCTACCACTAAATAAAAGTTATAACAACTATCAAAGCTTGCATAGGATAAGTTAATGAATGAATTCCAAAAATATAGGATAAGCTGAAGAAGGAAATTATCCGTTCATGGAGTAGTTTTACCCTTTTTGCTAAACTTTTTTATGCTAAACTTTTTTATGCTAAACTTTTTTACCCACTATCAGACAATTTTTTTCTCAACTGAAAAAAAAGAGGGTTGAAAATAGAAAATAGTATTTGATTGACTTATTTTTTTTAAAAAATGCTGGTTTCACTGATCTGGAAATGTTTTGGAATGAAATTCTATTGAGAAATTGAGAGAGAAATGAAGTAATACCAAACTCCTTGGCTGATATAATTCCACTCGGAACACTATCATTGTGATTATCATAGCTATCTCATTAGTTGACACTTTCCTTTCCCATTTTAATTATAAACCTTATTTTTCCACTCTTCCTTCTTTTTAGGGCAATTACCTGATTGCCTAGAGGAATCTAGGCTTCAAAATATAAGCAAATATTTCACAGACAACCAATCATACTATATTTCTTTTTCTGAGCAAAAAGTAAATTCACTGATAATTTTTATATATTTACATAATGTACTTCAGCTTTCTTCAAAAAAGGAAAGTTAAATCAACTTATCTTAAGGATTAAGGAAAGAATTAGTCATTTAATGATATAAAGAAATTACTTCATTAGGGAATGAAAGATTAGTTAACCTTTTAATGTGTCGCGAAACTCGAAGTAATCTCGCGAGCCTCCAATAACAAAATATATCAAATGGAATTGTATTAATCCACAATACTAAAATTTGTCTTAATTCAACATTAGAAATGTAGCATGTAAGCAGCTGTTATTCCAACATTCATCTTCCTATTGTAGCTGAGCCTATTCACCTGTCTGGAAAATTTCAACAGTTAATAAAGTTTATGTGCATTGTTTAATATGTTAAAAATTACTCTTTTATTCGAAATCAAATTTGCTTACAATGTCGAAATATTGTAAAGGTTATCTAAGCTAATAGTCATTCTTTGAGAAGCTACAATATTAAAATCCATTTCTTAAAGAGCAAAGGTCATCTGATAGCCCTTACTCAATAATCATGCTCTTGTTGCAAGTCAATGCAACAAATAAAATAAAGATTTAAATCCTTTGACTTCATCAGTTTTCTCAGTTTTTCTTTACCAGTAAACTACAGTTCAGTTACTCTCCCTCACTCACAATTCACTTCATTTTCCCATCAATTTATACTTTTTCTTCATCTTATTCGTAAATACTTATCAGTATTGTTACTATTGTTACTATATATTACAGATTAATATTTATATATTGTTGTTGCTAACGAATAAAGTCATTACAACAGACATCATTCAAAGCATTCGTCTCTACTAACTACAATACGAAAGGTATTACATGGATTCATTTCCTCTCCTAAAAATAAGTATTAAATGTAGTCATAACTATGTTACACACTTTTACATATAAACTTTCATTCCTAGATATCTGAAAAATATTTATTGGGCGTTTTATACGCATCAACTGTATTTGCATACATGGACATGCTAATTTTCATAAAAGACAAATTTCAGTAACACAGACAGCAAACATTGTTACCTAGCGATACCAGATGGAAATTTAGCAAACCAGTTCAAAACCTACGGTTCGAACAATGTTTGCTAAATTTCTCATAGTTTCGTTAGGTTACTAAATTTCTCTTAGTTTCGTTAGGTCTTGTCTTGTGCTAACATGTTGGGTGTTAGTATGAAAATGCTTCATCCATGTTATACGTACGTGTGAGCGTTCTATGTTGATCGCCATCATTTCAGCAAATTTATTATTTAACTCTGCACATAATATAGTGAATGATCTATTCATCAATCTGTTTGCAGTGAATTTTCCATCTAATAAAGTAGAAAAAGCGAAAGTACTAATTAATTGTTGTGTTATTCAGAGTGCAAGCAGGTATCTTCCAGAAATGTTTAGTCAAAACTTTATTTAATAAAGAATTTAACAAAACAATTTTTGGTGCTCTGCTCAGGATTGCACATTGAGAATGAAGAGCACTCAGTGAGCAGTTGTATTTTACTTGTTGCTGTGATGAGATGAAATTATAAGATTAATTTACAAAATCTATTAAATTAACTGAAAAGGTTGAGAATGCTAACTTTTCTGTTAAAAAATTGATATAAATAGCAGCTATTAAACAGTAATATGAGAGCCGTGTTAAAAATTAGGTTTTCTTAACAATCTCTTAGCATCTTTGTCTGTTTTTTTGTTTTAGTAATGCATTCGAATTTATTGAATAACACTTTGTGTCATTTCCTTTCACTTAAAGTCAATTAGACTTGCATGAAATCGCAGTTTGAAAAGAAACATTGCTTTTTAAATGAAAAAATCTTTGCAGTGATTAAATAGCAGTAAAAAGAGGAAGAAATGTTGCTGCCTTTGAACCTTCCGTAGAGTAACACAGCAATGAGTCATTGTTCAAAAGACCTTGCTGATTGTACAAGCAACAGTCCACTTACTCTCTCTCTCCATTTTCCCATCAATTTATTCGTTTATCCATTTTCTTCATCTTATTCGTAGATACTCTACACAATTATCAGTATTGTTACTATAGATTAATATTTATATATTGTGGGTGTTAGGGAATGAAATCATTACAACAGTCTTTTCATTCAACGCATTCGTCTATACCAATTACAATAGCAAGCAAGGAAGGCTCTTAAGCATACGAAGATCCAATTCGACTCTAAGCCACAGGTTATGTTCAGACTGAATCCCAAATTTCACTACAAATGCAAGGTAACTTGATGACATCCATTAAAAAATGTCGTTTGATATGGATGGAAGGGAAGAACTTTATAGTTTACAGGTGCAGTAAAAGGCAAACTGAAATTGAACTAATAATTGAATTTGTGTCAAAAAGAAAAAAATAATTTCACTGTTATTAATATTCATGGCATATAAGAATAAATAGCATAAACTGAACAAGTTAAATAAGAAATTTAATTTAAACTATGAAACTAAAGAGCATGAAGCTGCGTTTGATGGGAAAAGGTAATTTCGGTAGATGTCAACTGTTCTGCTCCACTTCTGTGGACACTATTTTCTGGCGTATCTGACACTTTTTCCTTCGGTACATTAGTTGTGTCTTCATTTGTTTCTTTTCCTTTTTCTGATATTTTATTAACTGGTGAAACTTTCCTAGCGTTTTGTTCTTGCTGCTGTTGTCGTCGACGTGGCGGTCTTAGTAAATGATGATGTCTGCGGTGAAATGCCTTAAAATGTTACACGTTGCTAAAAAAGGAAAACAAATTTGATAGCTTATTAATGTAACAAATCCTACAAATAGGAAATTAATTAAGAAAATAATATACCTTAACTTTTACATCGTCAAAAAATGGATCACATCGAATATTCACGCGATCCGGTGCTTCATCAGGCACAAATTCCATTAATTCAATCTCATCTGCTTGTGTTTCTTCTAGCCCTAATTTCATGCTTTTTGACATCCTAATAGCTGTGAAATATTTGCATATAACTCTGAAAGCTGTTAATTAAACATCTAACAAATAATTATTAGCTTTGAATCACTACAATAGATTGTCTTTGCGACATGATTGCATCTTATCACTTTTGGGAGAGAAAAGCATAACTTACGGATGACAGAACCAGAAATAAAGAAGCGGTAAAATGCAACAACTTAATAGCATTACACCACTAATCAAATATGTTTGTGTTAATGATAAAGTTGCTAAAGCTTTTGCATGTTCATCCGCTGAAAATACATCAACGAAAACGGCTGGTATTATTAGAATATAGCATTATTAGAATTAGTAAAAGTTTCGACATATTATATCAAATATTGAAATTATTTAATAATGGTTATATTACTGAATAATTTCAATATGTGTATTTCTTAATCATTTTTTGTTTATATATAGCATCAGCTTGAGATGGGCTTTTTTTTGAACTAGATGAACATTAATGATATAATATTGTCATATTTATTCCTATATAGATTGAACTGTTTAGACGATTGATAAGATTTAAATAATATAAAATATACGATACAAATATCTCTTATTGAAAGTGGTATTTCTTGATTTTCAATTGTAATCATATGAATTATTTGGAATATTTTTTGTTTATATCGCACCAATATGAGATGAACTTTATTTTGGCTAAAATTAAAAAATATTTTGACAAGGATTTAACTATTATCTTGGTAGCTCAAAACTTTATTTTCAGTACATCTCTAATCCTATTTTCTACAATTTTTTCTACTTGTAATCTTTTACACCAATTAATGACCTACCTATCCGATGGTTATCTTTTTTCTATTTCCTCGTATATTTTAAAAATTCATTTGCATAAATCTTGTAACTTACTCTGCAACTGAGGTTAATTACTATTCAGATATAATATCATTAAAAGTGTTAATAGTTATTAAATCATCAAAAGGAACAAACCGTTCAAAAAAATTGTTGCTAAAAATAAGGACAATTTAAAAGCTTCACTACCATGCAAATTAATTAAACCTTTTGTTTATGCAAATATGAAAGAGTTTAGACAATTTAATGTTACTGTGATAATGAGGGGTAATGGTATCAAAAATAGTTTACGAAATTGTCATTAGTATACAATAATCAGAGATTTGAAGGTGACATATTATTTGTTTTTTATTTTAGTAAATAAGTTTTACCTTAGATTGAATCAGTTGTTTGGTAAATTGATTGATTTTTCTATCGAATCATTTGATCAGAAATTAATAGCTCCATGCTAATCTAAGCATATTTTTACTACATGTGTTCAGTTATTTGAACAACTAAAAGTGCTCACTAGTTGCAATTAACTGGTTAATTAATTAATTCAGATGCTATTAAAACAATTTCGATGACATTTCTTCCATTATTTCTTACTATTCTGCGTGTTTCATTCTGCTTGCCATATTTATTTATTAAAGTCTTAAATTGATCTGTATGACAGATTTAAACTGTCACTTGATCTCAAAAAACTTGGGAACTCTAAGATTGATTTGTTCGTTAGTCAATCATTTCGGGAAAATTCTAAAATTGATCATATAAGAGCTGTATCAATCTCGCACTATACGTATCAGTTTGATTCAACCAAATTCATTAGAGGAATCGAGAGAATAAGATTTTTTGATAGGGATTGAGTGTTACGAACGTGAATAGGTAACATGAGTTGTTTGCATTGTTCACGATAGTATATTATTGCTCAGTTTTTGATAATTTAATTCAATCAAAAATTTTTATTATCAAATTACATAGTGCAAAAAAATGGGTGAAAAAAAAAAAAACTAAAATAATGTTATATTTCAGTTTTTAATTCAAACAATCATTTACATTGTTTGAATTAGGTCTTTTCTGGTCTAGGACTCGTACCTTCTTCGCCCTGTAAATTGCTCGTTACGTTGACCTGAGCAATGCGTTCAGCTCCAGCTGTTATCAGATCACTACTGGATGACGAAGACTTCTTTTTCTCTGTAGTTGATGCAGCTGTACCGCCCAATTGTCCAACTGCCGCAGCAATAAGCTTTGCTTGTCGCTTTGCTTCTGTCTCCTGCTCGACTAATTTTTTTCTTCGGCGTAACAAATTAAGTTCTGGAAATGAAATTTAATAGTTACTTTTCTTCATTAATTACTGGACTGCTTAGAAATTGTCACAGTTTAGTCAAAGATGTCTTAATCTTCAGATATCTTAATTTGTAAGGTTTAACAAACATACTTCGCAAACGTCGACGTGCACGATCACGTAGCTTACGCTTCTTACGATGTTTTAAAATGCCCATTTTAATCTTATAGCGACGTCGCGCAGGTATAATATGTGCTCGATGATAAATAACAAGAATGATTAAAATCAATAAAAGCAGCATATCCAAAACGGAAACTTTTAGTATAAATGCCATAAAAAAAGGACTGTAAATGTATTCATTTATTAAAATTACATTAAAATCATACCAGTAACTATCAACGAGAAGTGGAATTTATATACAACATTTTACCATCTTAGTTATGGATGATTGCAGAAAGAAGGTTATGCTGATCTCACTCGGAATATGATCAATTCAAGAATCAATGATATGCTAGTTTAAGAAGTCTTCTTTACTTTATCGTTGACGAATTTCAAAAAATACAAGAAGGAAATATGTAAAGAAAAAGTATCTTAGAATGACACTTACGCATTAACAAGTCGACATTTTTGAGTATGAAATTCTGGCCTTTCAATAATTTCACTTTCTATTCCAAACGCAGCTTCTGAAATTATTAATTTTGGAAGATATTCTAATAAATTTAACATTTTTGGCGTTAATTTATGCCAGTGATAAAGAGGAAAGATTTAGCATAGTGCTCATTAGTAAACAAGTATGCTGCAATACGTGAACAACTTATCTGACGTTTTCACGTTTGTACGTCATTACAACATTGTGTTCCTTATACATAAGTATTGAATTCAACAACATATTTCATAAAAAGTTGAATAAAGTATTACTTTCAAAATCTTGTTTAGCTACAGCTTTGGTCACAGCTACCGTATCATTCCTTCGTTCTTCTATTGCTTCTATTTCCGAATGCAAAATATACGCTGCCTCACTAGAATGTTAACAGAAAAAAAGTTTCTTTAAAAAAAAAAAATAATGAGAAAGTGTAAATTGATGTAAATTATTATGAAACTATAATTCAATCAGCTTTTACTGACTTTAAAAAAAGAGCAAAATGAATGACACTTACGCTTCTCGGTACAAAATCTTCCCGGTGTATATACCAATGGTATCAAATGTGGTGTTGAAGGTTATTTTTATGCTAAAATTTCTACTTTTTTACCAAATCTACTTTTTTTTTACCAGAAGATAATAATATACCTTTGCATTTCTTGGATACATATGAAATTTTTGAGATTATATAAACAAATTATATAAAATGTGTTTTTGTATTAAAGGAAATTAATGTATGCGTAGTTTGCTTATATATTTTCAATTTCATTCAAATGTAACTGAGTTTTTTCTACTTCATTTTTATCACCTCTAATTCAAAAATGATAAAAGACATGATTATATCAATTTGAAAAGTAACAATAAATCAATTACACTCTTCAAAAACAATCAAAGCTACACTAAACTTACTCGCTAGGATTTTCGAGACTTAAAACTGAGGCTCCTTTGGAATCGCTGCAAATTATAAGGCATCGCAATATTATTGAAGCATTTAAGATTAAAAACTGTTCTATTAAGCAATTTTTAAATTAAAATTAATGAAGAATTTAATTTTTTAAATCATTTAAATTAATGAAAGAAATCTTTAAGATGCATATAACAAATGAACTTTCTATATGATTAAAAATTAAATGTTGCATAGTTCTTTGGCGAAAAAGTACTAAAAAAGAAGATTTGCATGACTAACTTGTAAAGAACATATGGAAAGGATGTAGAATAGATGAAATTAGACAAGAACTTTTCATTTTGAGCATGCTTCAAGGTATCAGTAATTATCGTATTCGGTGTCACTAGCACAGCTTCAGTTTTGCGCCTCATCACGTAAACTACCCCAGGAACCGATTCATCATACATCGCTGAGGACATTTCAAAATCGCAAGGATACTAAAATTATTTTTAAAAAAATTAATTCATAAGAGTTAGATACTGTTATTATTCTTCCATAACAATGACTCCAGATCTCCTTTAATCAAATCTCTTACATCCGCACTAAGAAGAACGCTAATATTTATTAATTAGTTACTAATTATTAGTTGGCTAGAATGTGATTGAGTGATACTTCGATATTAAAAACCACACAGTACCGTTGAAGTAATTCATACTACGATCATTTCTAAAAAACAATGAATTTCAAGAATGATTTGAAAATTATAAAGTTTTATAAAATTCTATGAAAGACTTCATTGTTTACGTTAGCCAAATGTAATAGAATTACCATTTTGAAGAAATATTTCAATGAGCACAAGTAAAGATAAAAACATAAAAACGAAAAAGAATGAAATATAAAAAAATAATTTGAATGAGCTAACCTTCATGATTTTTTTATATGATACCTGAAAAATGAAATTGGTGAAGTGTTAAAATTCCAGTACATTTATCTGATGATATATTCGCCTTCCGTCATTTCCGTATGGTATAGAAAGAACTTACCGCTAATGCGGGAAATGACAAGTCTTTAATGTCTTTTTGTACACTCCTTGTAATTTTTCGTCTTCTGAAGTGATACGTGCATTCCGTACGTGGCTTATGTTGATAATACGTGTACTCATCAATATTATGAATGGTATCAAATGTATTAGGTGCAATAGTGAATGAATTATTTTTCTCGAATTCCGAATCAATCAAATTATGCGTGTAAGCAACAACTCCTGATCTAAAAAGAATTTTGTTAATTTTTTAAAAATATCAAAGTTTACTTAGTAGTTGCTTGACATAATTATTGGTCAGAAAATTGTTAACAATGAGGTCAAAAAAACCTACTCAAATCAAATATTTTACTAAATATAAAAATTAAATAAGTTTTGTTACGTCATCTTATGCTGCAGCAATATCATAAACTTATGTCACAGATATAATTGTATTTAATTTATTTCTTCTTACATCTATTGAAAACACAAGCAAACTTATATCAGAAATACAAGAAACAAAATTCACTCCTTGATCCCTTTTTCAATATCCGTGTAATCAATCGATACTTTGATTCGTACTCCTTCAACATTCAAACCATCTTTAGTACGTAGAACAGTTATATACGAATCGATGAGGATTGCACGCATCTTATACGATTTATCGCATCCTAAAATTTTTTTCTTTTTTTCGTTAAAAAAAAACAATGGTCACTTAAAATTCCTAATTTTATAGAGCAAATTTTTAGAAGATATTAAATCAGAAAAAATTAAATTATTTCAACAAAAATATCAAAATATAATATTCTATTTTGCTTTTGTATGACATTATTAGGACAACATTCTAGTAAAGATGGTGAAATGCTTACCACTGCCTTTCAAATTTACTTTCTCGAAGTCCTCAAATTTCAATATCACAAAAACGGTACAATTAACTACCCCGTAGAACGATATCGGATATTTCTCTGTTTTTTTGCGGAATAATTCTATATATCTAAATCAATTTAATAAAATAGTTTAAACTAATAATTAGATAATTAACTCAATGCTAGATGTTACTACTCGAATTCTCAGTTCAAGTCAATTTAATGTGTTAATTTAGAGCATATTTTTAAGCGCTGAATAGTTTATCACATTGCTAAATGATAAGGTTATTGGTGTTGTGTTGAATGTCAAAAGGATCGAAAATAAAGAGAACTGAGAGGGTGACTCACTCATTTTCGATATATTCAATGGGAAAATATAGGAGCGCCTTGACATAATTGCCATAATTAGTGAGTTTTTTTGTGTGGGTGACAGTTTTTAGGCTTGAACTGAAAAGATAAAATGAAAAGATAGCCATAGTTAAATAGTGATAAGAATTCAAAATACTAATAAGAACTTAAAATTGCTATTCTCTACTTTGATCGTTAAAAACTGAATTAGAACTTAACATAATTCTATACTTAACCTATTTCTGAAGATTTGAAGCAATTTTATTTCGGTTACCTATCTCATAAATTTAATTTTTACTTTTTGCTTCATTAATTTATCATTGTTTCATCAATTGCTTTTGTTCGCTGCTTTATAGCTTTAGTAATTGGATTTATAAGAGAAAGAAATAAAATTACTTACTTTATAATTTCATATTTCATCTCGATGCTTTTATCCCTTGAAAATATCTCATATTAAAGTTCACCAAAATGATTAAATCCAAAATAGTAAAATAATAGAGTTATACCAAGTTGAAAATTAAAGGCATTTAAAGTGTATCGCAGATTTAGCTTCTGGTAAGCAGCAAATAAAGGACTTTCAAAGCTTATCAATGATGCTTTTGATATTCTAAAAACTTCTACCGGTACGAAATAATTTCAGTAAGAAACAAATGATAAAAGAAAAGTAAAACAAACTTTTCATTATAAAATAATGTTCGGCCATTTCGAAGGTGAAGTGGCCATTGACTTTCGATGCCTTCGAATGGTTTTAGGCTTCCACGATAATTGTCAAATCGATTCTGAAAACATTAATAAATTGATGAAAATTATTTGCTATCAGAGATTATCAATTATCGGATAGCTTTAACTTTAATAGTGATGCATTAAATGATTATTAGTGTTTCAATTTTTTTTTAGTAATTTCGTGACCATCTGCAAGTTATCACACGCAGAATGCAGCATTACACTGCAGTGATATGCAAGATATGCTGCAATGGGATAACATTGTAATTTTTAGCATTATTTTGAGCAAGACAATTGCGCAATCTGCTAGCTAAAACACGAAAAACTTCTAAAAGTTTCTATTTCTTTAAATAGAAATCTGTGCATTGAAACTGGCCAAGGTAAGAAAGACTATTTTGAACCTTTTTGTCGAAAACAGTTTTTTGATTGGAATAATAAAATAATCGGAAAAGAAACAATTTTTATTCTCAAGTTGCCTTTAGATAATTTAACAACAACAATTATTTAACTTGTTTCATGTTCAAAAAAAAAAAACACTAAAAATTTTTTGGAAAATAAGAGAGAAAGTTGCTTAGAAATTTGAAAAAATTAAAATGAAAAGTTGAGAAATACATGAAGCAGAATGATTGATGAAAGAGATAATTAACCAGCTTTGGATCCGGATAAGTTTTTAAAACTCCATCATGATTAAAAGTAAGCTTCAGTTCATGTGCTGTAGAGGTGTCAATGAAAAAGATCAGTTTGGCATGCTTCGCATTATAATCAACTTTTCGGCACTTTTTGTTTAGTGTCTTGACAACAGTCATATCATCTTTTTTTAAATAGATAACTTTAATACCATTCCTAAAGAAAAATCATTCATTAATTCAATTCCACTTTTTTCATTATAACATTTAGAGTCAGACATTCCAAAACAAAATTATGAAATTTAGTTTACTATCTAACCATAACACACAGTCATTTTTTATTTTATCTCACTATCATTTCACTATTTTCTCGTTATTTTTCTTTGTCGGAAGTATTATCAGATCAAAAATATTATCAGATATAGATCAAACGTACAAAAAAAAGACTTCGTTTTCACTTTTTTTTTTGAAAAATTAAATATCATTTTCTTATACTTTCGGTGATAATCATTAATTATGACATGATAATTGATTAAATACAGACATTTATATGTAAGACTGATAACAAGTCATACTGATGATAATATCAAGAAAACTTTATATTCACAAACCATGGATTAATATTATATATTCGATAATATGTTGTGGGACCACAAATTACCACAATTGCTTCTTTGCCATCGGTCGAAAATAAATACAATTCATCGTCCTTACCTAGTTCTTCTGCAAAATTTTTTCCTTTTAAATTCAGTAATCGATCGATTTGATGCTTTTGCTCAGTAAACAAGAAAGAAATACATTGTACCCTTCTGAGCAATACGATGCGCGAGATCGAGTGAAAACAATATTTCCGAGAATTTTTCCTTTTCATTGATCACTCGATAGGAAAATATGTAACCATTTCGAAATCCCAAATAAATTGACCCTTTTGTGTGTACCGCATCTACTTCCTTATCATGATATGCTTGAACAATTAATTTTAACGAAAGGAAGAAAAAACCTTTCAAAAAATAGATTTTTGATATTAATATGTTTGGTATTTTTGATATGAATTCCAAAATTAAGTGTTATTTCATATGGTCTGATTAAATCAATACTCAAATCTCGAAATTTTTCTTTTTGACAAAAAATTTTGGCAGAAAAAATGAAATATTTGAATTGCATACTTTTTCCACCATTGTTTCTGAGTTCTTTCTTGCACTTAGTTTCTTTACCTGTAACGAACGAAAGTATTTGGTAAAATAACCCAAAGTTTAAATTTCAGTACTAATAAGTGCTATTGCAATAGTACTATTATTACACCTAAAAAGATAATCGTTAAAATGGCAGTTGAAGAGTTAAATGGTCAGTAGAATTTTCTACCATATTTAATACATTATAAACATTCCTGATTTAAGAACCACAACAAATTTACTTCTTTTTCAAAGAATCTAATTTAACTGTATTTTTAAATTTAACTTAAACACACAAAGTGGGACGGTGAATGAGATTTCAAGAAAATCTAGAGGAAACATTAATCCAATTGATTTAACTCCTCTTGAAATGTCAATGGAAACATTTCAGAATTGTATTTCAGATCTATCAACTAGTAATATGATCTTTCATCTTAGAATTTAAAAGAAAAAATTCAAATTAAGATGTACAATCAAAAGCCGAATCTCCCATTTCATAATAATCATTGACCAGATTTTTACGACCGTACAAAATACCAACTCCATATTTACTCTTTGTTTCAGCAATACAATCTATTAATGGTACCGCTGATTTTTGACGTCGTGCCAGCCTATTTATAATTAAATGAAAATAAATTAAAAATACTTCAAATGCTTAAAAATTGAAATAAATTAGAAATAATGATGCAAATGTTCGAGAAAACTTAGATTTTATAAAGATAAACGAATCTTAATTACCATTTGGTTGTTTTTTTATTTATAGCCATAAGGTTAGCAGTTGGATTAACCCATGGATCAGTAATTTTGTTTATTTTCTGGATGAACAATTTCGTTCCTGCCCTCTACAACAGGTTATTTATCAAAGAAAATTCGATATTTTAATTCGATATCTGAAATCCATTCATCACTCATGTTTGGATTATTAAAAACCTCAAAATCAATAAGTATTCAGTCTCATAATGATATTCGAAATTATAGTTTTGACAGAGAAATGTATCGGTAAAATTTTATTTTAAAAAAATGAAACTTTAAAGATTCTCGATATATATCTCCATCAAAGTTGTGACAAAAATAGCAGGCAAAATAGTTAAATAAATGATTTGGCACTTATATATTTTACTAATGCTTCATTTTATGATAAGGATTCTTTCAAAGTTTAAAAACAATAAAATAAAATTTCAATTATTAAGAATTTTTTTTTATTTATTCAGTTTTCATCTTCTCTTTGCAGTTTTACTAAGAATAAAATGAAAAATGGATATTTTTTAATCTTTGTTGTAGAAGGAAAGAAATAAATTTATTACACATTTAACTTATGCTTACTATGCTAGTTATATTTATAAATGAAATGTCAAGGGTTAATAGATTACTAAAGAAATAAAATAAAAAGGAATAAATATTTTTTCAGTTAATATATTAAAAAATATGATATAAAAATTATTTGGATATTTAGGATAGACTTATTCTTTTACTGGATTCATATATTAATTTCACTATTATGGCATGAGATGATAAGTGTTGATGATAACTATTAATGATTTCGTCAAAGCAAATAATAACAAAACAATTAACTTACCCCAAAAATAATTTGATATGATCCAGTACGGCCTTCACCTATCTGATAAAAAAAGACCTTGTTATCAGCGGTAGTTTTAAAAATGAAATAATTTTGGGCCAAATCAGAGAAATACATCAATGTTGTAAACGTTGCTTCATATACAATTTTGCTGGGTGTTGGTACGAACACCAATCGAAACGCTTCGAAATACGAGAGACGTGTAAACGTGTACAGTTTTCCAGTGCTATGTATTTCTTGCCATACAGTTATAAATTGTAATAAGCCGTGCACTTCAATCAACATCGCCTGAAAAAACAAGTTGAAATTAGCTATTTATCTTAAAAAATTATCATTTGGACTTCTCTAGTCTTACTTAATTGTACTAAGTAAACCAAAAAAAAAAAATACCGAAAACGTTTTTAGTGTATATGTTGAAGAAAGCAAATTTTATTATTTATTCAACCCTTATTGTTATTCATAATTAAAACCATTTTATTAATAACTGAAATTTAAACTTCCGATAAAAACGCCTTTTTAAGATGGCTTTGCTTCCTCATATTTATATAAGATGACAATACAGAAATATTTAACTTACGTCGTAATGATTAATGTCCGGTCCCTTTGAAAGGCCATCATCTAATAAACTTGGTAGTTTTTTGCTCCTTTAATTAATTAAATAACTTATTAAAATAGTAAGTAGGCATACTGTCAAGAAATTCAGATATTTTAATTTCACATGGCTTCTCTGCTAGAGATAATTTATTTCAAAAATATATTATATGATTAAGATTAGCTCTTAACAGTTCTTTGAAAAAAAAACTGGAAAAAATAGAAGCTAGATCATTCTGTTTCAAAATTTAGTAAGAAACTGAATCCTCTTAGATTAACAGTATCAAATTATATTTCTCCTGTTTTAAACCCTCAATATTTGCACCTCTTTTCTTTTTAATTTATTTCAAATTCCAGAAAAAATAATTTATTTCTGAATAAAATAGAAGGAGAGCTTACACCGAATCATTATTTACAATATCACTCGGTAAAAGGAGAATGCTTCTGTCCTCCCTTAATCCATATATCAAATAATCCGGATCCGGGAATGCCTACAGTAAAATATATTTAATCAATTGAAAATACAATTTTGAATTTCAGCAATAAAACTCTTTCAAAGATCTAATTTGAAAAAAAAGTGGAATAATTGGTGCTACTAATGATAAAAGTTTTAATGCGCTTATTTTAAACATAAATACCAGTAGACTGATAGAATGAAAAGGAAGTAAACCACTGACCGTTTTAAGTAATTTCACATCGCATTCATCGCATTGTACAAATCGTTGACTGAGTAATACGGTGATTATCACATTTGTAATCAAATTCATAGTCCTCAATCTATTAATTTTAAGAAAATTCATCTTATCATAAATGAGAAGCAAAGAATGGAATTGTACTAATCAGAATCATTCATAGTATCACCTGGCATTTGGAATAAATTTAATTGGTAGTAGTAAATTGAGAAGTGGAAAAATGTTGACGTTAATAATGAACTTGCCTCATTAGCATTTACTTATTAGCACTGATAACAAATTTCAAAAGAACTTTTACTTCTGACAAATTCTAAGTAATCTCCAATTATTCGAACTAAAAGTGTAATTCCTAAGAAAATGACTATGACATTATATAGAAATTGATAGATTTAAGCCCTAAATTCCATCCCTTCCTCAAATCTTTCAAAATTGAAATTAAACAACCGATGGATCACTGGAAAATGAGTTGAGATGAGATTGAGACTGGGCAAGAATTTTTTAATTTATATCACTTTTCATAAAATTTGCATATTTTTAAAAAACTTTTGCTATTCAAAATTAATTTATATGAAATGATATAATGTTTTCGTCACTTTTTTTCTGATTTCCGAACTGAACTTCAAATCTTGGAAAATACTAATTAGAGCATTAAAACAAAAAATTATCTGAAAGTTCAAACAGAAAGTTCATTTAGAAAATTTCTTTCTGATTAAAATTGCTTTCAAAGATAGTTTTTTTTTTCTTTTTACTAAGTAGTTTTTCTTTTATTCATTAAGGAATAAAATTATGAAAGGAGATATTTAAATATCAGATAGACACGCTACTACTATGATCAATAAAATATTTCCTTGGCAATTCTGGAAGAACATTTTTTACTCCTTCTGTGACATCGGCGTTAGAAACTCGGAAGAGAAAGAAGTGATAATTATTTAAGAAAATTAAGTTTCTCAAGTTCTTTTTTTTTAAAAAAAATGTTTTTATTATAATCTGTTTGAAATATGTTTTCAAAATATGCTTATATTAAATTTAAAACGATTAAAAGAACTTTTTAATTCAAGGATGTTATTCTATTTGTAAAAACATGATGGAAATGACAAAAAGCTTTAAATTTACTTTCTTAAGCCGAACTATGTACACTTGCTGTGATTTATTCATTAAATTAGGTTTTGCATAACAATTGGAAATGCAAATATTTATTTATTAATTAGCAAAGTTGTATAACAACTGGAAATATTCACAAATAACTTTCATTCATCGCCAGTTTCTGATTCCTTATCTTCAGATACTGGATTATTACCTTCTAATTCATTCATTTTTACTTCATCATTTTCATTTTTCTTTAATAAAACTTGTGAAAGATCTAATGCCTCTGGTTTATCATCTAAAGTGACTTTAACCTGAACGGATTCCTTCTTGCTAGGTATGGATTCTAAACCTAGCATCTGTTGGGCTAGCAATTGTTTATCGGATTCTTTAAAGTGAGTTGCAGAAAGAATAGGAAAGGTTTCAGAATCGTTTCTACATCTCTCTTTCGAGTCGTTATACCTCACAGATTCTTTTAAATTACTGTAAGATTTCTTTGCATCATCTTGTTCAAGCTTTTTCTCCATTGAATTATTTACTTCCGGTTTCTGTTCAGGCTTCATCGGCACCAGGCCATTTATTTTTGGACTCATCCCATTCTCATCATTCACTTCTTTGTCTTCGATTACAACCACCATTGAATGATTTTCTCCCTAAATACTTTTTTTTATTTGGTTGCATTTCGTATGCAATTACAATGTCTCATAAGGATTTCATCTAAAGAACTTTGATCTTTCGGTTTGACGTTACGATATTTGGAAATGTTTACTCCGAGGTTTCTTTTTGATTCAGAAGTTATTTCCAGTTCCAATTCATCATTTTTACTGTTTTTATGATAACGAGCCTAACCAGTGTTTGTGAGAAAAATTTATTCAAACCATAAAAGATCAATGTGTGGTGAAAGTACAATTTCTCTTGCAATAATAGAAACAGAAGAGAATCAAAAATGAGATTTATTCCTTCCACAAATTCAGTCTTTAAATTATAAAATAATTTTTAAGGAAAGACACCCGCGGTAATTTTTCTATCAAAGGAGGCGATTGTTTGAAGTTTGCTTGCTGCTTCTTCTGCAATTTAGCGTTTTTCGTTTTTGTCTCCTTCAAAACGTAAATATAAAAGAAAAAATACCATACCTGATTTGTTTCTTTTTAAGTTTCATCTTCTAATTCCTGATTTTTCATTGCACAAAGTCTCATAGAAGATTTTAAAAAACAATAGTTTATTGATTATTCCTTCTCAAAACTCCTATTCCCACTCAAATAGCAAATAAGAATTGGTTAAGACAAACATTTACAGTAGTACTGGGATTTGTAGCTACCACGTCTCTTCCCATCGCTTTGTAAACTTTTTCGAAATTAAGTGCTAAAAATTAGCAGTAAAAAGTTTAATTCTAAAAAAAAAATATAAATAGTTCAGAGTATCTAAAACAGAAATAATGAATAAGACTGTTGCTACATTTAAGCTTTACATCCACTTTAAATTTCAGATAGGAAAAGTTACAAAAGAAAGCACTCTTTCTCACTTTTCCTTATTTTCATGATCATCAGCAGCACAATATAATCAATTGCATTATTTCAAGACATAATTTTAAAGTTTAGCTTACAAGCTGCTTCTTGTTGAACTTTAGATTTTGATTCATATTCTCTAACTTGTCTTCCTTTTTGGTAAATATTAACGTCTATAGATATAAAAATATCAATATAACAATAAAAATGATAAGAAAAGGCTAAGCAACAAAGCTCAAAAAACTAATTCAACATTATACAATAATCAGAATTGTTTCAGAATAATACCTATTAAGAAATATTCTGTTAATTAATTAATTAATTTCACATCCGATAGTTAATTATATTATTTCTTCAGTATGAATGGTACGGTTACGCTTTTTAATTGAACAACATTGAACAATTAATACAATCATAGTTATTTCTGCTGATACTATGAATAAAATTGCTTCTGCAATAAAACGCGCTATTTCGACAAATATTCGTAGCATTTCACTTATTGCTAATAAATCTAAAGAATTGAAATTCAACGCATTGAAAGTTTCAATTTCAAAATTACTCCTGACCTTGGAAGCTTTTAATCGATTTTTTTGTACTTACAATATGTAGATTCATTGTAAATTTTAGACGAAGAATCATAATTAATTGCTATCGATGCTACTCCATTGAGTTAATTAACAAAAATGACATAAACAAAAATGACATCAGGTATTTTCTCCAAAATTTAAGTGAAAACAGTGAATGCTGCTGATCTGCTGATGTATATAAACAGTTTTATGTACAAGCATACGAAATTATCAAATATCAGTTACGTTATCTTTTTTAAAATCAAATAAAATATCTATGCAAAAATATGTGCTCTTACTATTAGACGAACATTTAAATCAGAATTGAATTGACAATTGCAACCAGGTGACCTGCTTACAATGAAATAAAATTATCAAAAGATATTCATGCTGTATTGCACCCAACTTTTGTAATAACTTTCGCAATCTTTTGAATTCTATGTAAATTTCATCAAAATCCCTAAAAAATTATCTGTGACTGATTTTGCAATTGTATTTATATTGAAATTCTTAAGTAATTAAATATTGTATGAGAAATTCAGAAATTATTGAAGGGATGATTTAGTCTGTATTTGCTTTCTAAAAGCACTTCTATCAATTATTAATTCATGTTTTATTGAGAAATTCTGAGACGATTGCCTAGTTAGAATTTGCTTCGTTTAAATTAGGGCTAAAAATCCTTAACTTAATTTGAATTTTTAAAAGACTTATGAATTAAGAATTGATACAGTGCCAGTAAGTAAAATGTTTGTCTGATATTTAATCAGCCGTTCCGGAAAGTAAACACAACTGAACTGATTGAATTTAAATTCTTGTTCGTCACATCTATCTCCGTAAATGTCGTTGATTTAATTAAAGTTATCCGTTCTATAGTTATTTCCAACATGTCTTTTCCATGCTGTAATGTTACAATTTCAATCCCTTTTCCTTCAACTTTACCTCTCTTACTAAATTAATTGAAAAAAATTTGTTCTTCAACTTCGAATGTTATTATAAAGGTAACTGATTTTTATTACGACGCTTCAATCATTTGTGGAATTTTAACTTCAAATTCATTCTTTCTTTCATTTCTTCATTAGCTTTTCCTGATATCCTCTTACGTCCTCCTAAACTAAATGAAATTTTTGAATAACTGTAATTTAACTCTTGTCATTATTCCCGAACAAATAAGCAATAAAATAAATTTTAGAAAATGTACATAATCTTTGTGATTAATGATTCCTGTATATATTTTCTATTTTAATTAATTTGCACTTTTATACTAATTTCCTTATATTTTTTAGGTAGCAAAAGATAACAATGATGTAAAGAGAGAAAGTAGCCTTCATTATGCATTTGAAAGTGTCTTTTCAAATAAGAATTATTTCAAAAAAAATTTTTCCTTCGCTTTTCATTTTGACGTAAGTTACAAGATAAGTGCGAACTCTCATTTCTGATGAACTTGCACTCTGCCATACTGTAATATACTTTGTTTGTTCAGTTAAGGTAAAGAGAAGTTGCAACGATTTCACATGCAATTTTAATTGGTTGACAATTCAAGCACAATCTTTCATTTAACACAAATTTGTCAACATAGGCATCAAGGCAGAACAAATCATGTCGTTGTTACGACATCCAATAAGAAATGAATTATTAGATGATATTATCAATGAATTAATCAATAATGCTATATTCCATCATTAAATCCGATCAAGTTAATGAGCTAGATCTATTAGCTTAGCCTAGTTCAGTTATATTACTACTACTCATAAATGTTATGATGTGCGATGGAATCTCTCTGTGATATTCATTCTCTCTTTGCTAAATCTTGCTAAGTATTAGGCTATTGGTAAGATTAAACATAGGCTTAATTCTGATAATAATAAGAGACTGAAATAGTCCTTTGTGACTGTGTAAATCACGTGGCTATTCAAAAAAAAAAAAAAAAAAAAAAGATTTGCATAATCGTACGGGTAAAATGCCAATTAGTCGATTGCAGATAGTCGAAAAGTAATTAGCTTTATTGGACAATCGGAAAAAATTTCATGAGTTAGTATACTGAATAACTATAAATTAAGATAATTACTAGTAAAAAGTATGCAAGCAACCAAAATCAGGTTAAGGTAACCGAGTTAGCTATTTGCCCATTTGGACAACTATGGTTACTTTGGTTGGATTCATTTCAACAATTATTATTCGATTTAAGAGAAATATGAATACGTAGTTCGATAAAATGAACTAATTAATAGACTGTTTAGTCGAGTGGACTAATTAATTAATCGTTTCAGATTGCAAATTCAACTAGTTTCATTTTATTAAAGAGAATAATATGGTAATATTTGCAACGAAGACATTAAATGTCATTTTTTGACTTTTCTGTTTTCCGCGCAGTGTTTTTCATTAACTTTTGACCTTTCGCCCATACCGGTGGTTTCATTCTATAATTTTTTATTTTAACTTCTTCAGATTTTCGTATTTTTTAGAGATAGAAAATGAAATTACTCTTTGTGAATTGTTTGCTATGAAAAAAGAAAAGTTTTTTTTTATAAAAAAAGTTGGAACTTTTTAGGCTGAGGTTGGTTGACAAAAGATAATTCTTTTCCTACTATCCTGCTAACTTTATAAAAGTTCTTGCGAGTGATACCAATTCATAATTACTTAGAAATGAAAAATTATGTAAACATTAGATGGCTGGGAATGTTTCATGAAATATTACCGGCAAAATACTTATCGTATCCAAAAGTGCTTTACTGAGATTTCCCATATCCCGCATCTAAAAAGTTCGTCAAATTGAAAATCTTTCATTAAACAATATTTCATTTCGGGCGATACTTCATGATATCAAAAAGCATTAGTATGAAGCAAACAATAATATCAAACTTAACTATATTCTTCATTATTTCATGCTGAAAACTGAAAAAAAGAAGACTGACCGTATCAAGACCGGTATCTTCTGTTACAGTTTGATTTTTAACCATATACGTTGTACTAATTCCTGACTCTAGAATGTGACTTTTATGATTAGTTTGTGCTTCCTACAAAAAATTAAATTTCTTTTGCATTAGCAATAACTCAAACCGTTTCTGAGAGTAAATTCTTTCGCTCATTCAAATATTATTAGCGATCATTTTGCGATAGTCGCTATTCTTACCGATCGTCGTCTGATAGTCGCTATTCTTCTTATCGATCGTCGTCTGATAGTCGCTATTCTTCTTATCGATCGTCGTCTGATAGTTACTACCCTTTTCACTGTATTCTTTTTTTACACTGCCATTTCTTTTCCCTATTTTTTCTAAAACTTAATTAATCATTAACATGATTAATCTTTATTTTGAATGTCTAATTAGAAATTTCTGTAAATAGGACAAAGTTCGACCAATTAAAATAACTCTTGGATGGGTACGATAATTTGGATTAACTTAATTTAAAATAGCAAAGTTTTGCTGACGCAAATAAAAAATAAAAAACCAGTAATGATTGATTTTATTAGTTGAATTCTTTAGTTCAAGGAAAAAAAGATGGAAAATCAAAAGTGTTATCTTTCAACACTGATTTCAACATTGAAGAATCAATGTATCAAATTAGAACATCTATGATATATATATTTACGATTATTTATTTCAATAAATTAATACTTTTTCTTTTACTTAAACATTGCATGAATGGAAAACTGATCATTATTGTTGTTGACAAAATGTATAAAATTGTTTCCATAGCGAAATTTGTTAAGCTAATAAACATAGCTCTTTTCTTTTTTTTAATGCTGATAGTTTGTTATATCTAGAAGAGGCATCATTAAAATTTTCTTAAATTTCTATGTTTTATTAAATAAGAATGTCTTCTCAACATTTTACTATTGTCATTGGATCTAATGTTGCATTTTCTGAGCATTATTAAAATAAAAAAATTTACAAATCACGTACTTGTTTTGTTTTATGTTTAACACTAATGACTTCACAGAAATTAAACTTTTTTTAAAAGTTTTATTCACTGCTGAATACGAAGTAATTTAAAATAGTTAAAATTTAAGATCTTTTTTTTGAAGTGAAATAATCATATATAATAAGTAACATCGAACCAAAAATGTGAAATCTTGTCGATTACTCTGTATAAAACATACTATTCAGTTAAAACTTAACTTTGAGGAAAATGCATGTTGCTTCTTGAAACCTCAACAGAAAGTTGCAGTAAAATTTTTGTCTTGAAAATTGATATTATTTATGCTTACTTTCTTAAAGATCAAAATTTAATATTAAAAAAAATCAAAAAAGGACCAAACTGCTTCACAATTCTCAGCTGAAGCACGAGCTTGTAAAACAACAATTAGGTTTGAAGCAAATTATGAAAAGACAAATATTATTATTAGTAAGTGCTTTTATATAACAACAGGTCCATATTTATGGAAATTTTGCTTATTCCAATTCATGATACTCTACTTGAAGCTTAAACTACGCTTAAGTGTCTGTGTTTTTATTTATAGATTGAACACTTCAAAGATCTCTGCTTTTACTAGCATGAAATCATTGCTTGTTCAACTCATCAATCACTTCTTTCCATTTTATTTGGAAAGAATAATGAACTAAACAAAGTAAAATGATCAAAACGTGTGCAATTTCCGTCTAATTACTCATGCGAGAATACTTTAGATAATTAAATATTATCATCAGAGCTTGGTGGTATTTTTGATAAAGTGATTCATTTCAAGTTTTATCATTAGAGAGAGAGAGATTTCGCTAAGATCATGTAAATATTAATAATTCTGAGCATTTAAATGGTATTAATTGCAGGAACTAATAATTTGAAGGAATTTATTAGTCGCCTTATCAATGCTCAACAAAATCAATATTCATCATATTCGAACGTATTATTAAAACCATAAATTTTGAAATTATGCAAAGAAATATATGCAAAAATTAGAAAATAATACCATGCATTCTTAATATAATATTTTCATTGTTTCTTGGTTACTTATGTACCTTAGTAAAGCTTTTTCACACCATCCTGCTTTGTTCTAATGGAATTTGCTAAGCTTTCTTTCATCAAAATACGCAGTAATATCACAAGTGCTATAGTCTAGCTAACAACTAAACATCATAATGTAATCAGCTGCTTAAATAAAAAAAGTAAATAAATTGAAATTTCTTTAGATGAATTCTATTGATGTCATGATAGTCACCGGTTTTCTTTTGCTTTCTATTTATTTTCAATCTTATTTGTAAGAAATTAAAATAAAAACTTCACTTTCTTTCAAAAATAATGAAAAAACGATTACGTGTTTATATACCACAAATATGCACAATTCAAACGAATTCGAGATTTTTTTACTCAAAAGTTACTTTATTTGTTGAAATCAGACACCTGCATTTACATGCATTAAAAATGTTTGGGGAATGAGCGCCCTATAGCAATAAGCGCCTTACCTGGTATGATATGAGCTGCAACATAAAGTAAATGAAGCAACAAAAGTAGATGGCACATTACAGAATAGCTTTTTTGTCTTTTTTCATTTATTTTTAGAATAAAACTAATTTCAATTAATTGAAGAATTATTTAGGATTATTTTATTGAAGAATAATTTAATGGTAAACATTTGTATAGTTTTGATTTCTATTTCTTGTTTATTCATTGAACAATGTTTCACTGATAATACCATTACGATTAATAAGTAGTGCTTCATTACGTCCGTCATTCACGTGTCTTGGCCTCTTACAAAATGATTTTGCAAAATGAATCAGTTCAGCACGAAGCGCTGGTTGACAACTTGCATATATGGGTAACCGTAAAGCGCATGCCACTATGGTCAACAACGATACCGTATCAACGCTAAAGATGTAGAAGTCCAAAAAACTGAAAATAAAAAGTTTAGCATTTTGTATAATAATAGCTTAATTAACTTTTATATGCTAATTTAATATGCTCTTCGATGGAATGGTTGCTTCTCGTATACATCGATGCTTTTGAATTAGCTAAGAGAGAAGAATTTAATTCAACAATTAGTCTGAAATATTATTATATAAACCAAAAGATGAAATAAGTTAAAATATCATAATTAATCACCCTTAGAAGACTAATAGTGTAATACTAGATAGGATTAATAGAAATTAGAGTTTAATCTCGCAAGTATGAAATGAATCTTAACTGAATTTTCGTTTTTTTTTTTTTCCAAATTTTAAAATACTGTTTGAAGTGATATTGTACCTGCTGAAAAGTGATGTCGCATCGATGTGCTCCCAAATGGTGATAATGACATTGAGCATATTTGCTAGAAGATAAGTGCAAGCAACAAGCATTAAAGTTCGTGTAGCTGCTCGAATTCGAGCCTGCAAATTCTTTCAATATTAGCTGAGGAAGTTATAGCATATTTCACTGTACTGGGAATGCATGCATGCTGCATGCATGCACTAGTAATCAAATTGATGACGTAATGTCATTCTGTTAACTTCACAAATTCATTTACAATATAGTTAAAAGACTTAAATCGCCCATTTCAAAATTTGTAGTGCAAAAAAAAAAAAGTCGCATAATGCAAATTATAGAAATTTATCAATACAAATAATTATTTTTGCAATTAAATAAATTTTTAAGCATTAGAAAAAAATATTTCTTTTATTCGTTTTAGAATTTTGAAGGTTTGAATTAGAATATTTGAACAAACTTTTCGCTCTTTGGCATTAGTAACATGCGTTAATTCCATATTATGCTTTTCAGCAATAAAATTTTTCCTCAGCTCATTAACAATTCGAGCATTTAGGAATATCAATGTGAAAAATGGAAATAGAATAGTAACAATATTGCGAAACCAAAAACGAAACAATTTGTAGTGTTCGTTATGGCTTACTAATGCTGTTATCTCCAGCCGATATTCATTTATTGTTCCAGTACAATTCGAATTATGAATTGGCTGCAAATTTTGATGCATACAAGTAGATGAAGTGATGAATGATAATCATTTAGCCTTAGTTGCATTTATGAATTTAAGTCTAACTCTTGCTAGAGGATGATGGTTGATGTATTCAAGGCGCTTCGAATCAATATTATTTATAAGTAATGGATAGAAAGCTTGAGTTAGCAATGGCTAAAATGGCAGGTGAAATAAAAATTAAGATAACTGAATAGTATAATGAAAAAATAAGGCATAATGCTTTGCTATAAGATCTGATTTTTCAGTTAGAATACTAATTTATAATTGCCTTTCGAGATTGTATTTCTTTTGCAAAGTAATCTATTAAAACTAAAATTATGATAGGACTATTATTTTTTTAATACCAAAAATTTATTTCGCTAAAATTGAAATTTATTTCAACCTTAAGCTCAAGTATCAGTGTTCCTTTGGTGAACACACCAATTAATACAGCTAACAAAGCTATGTAGCAGCGATTATTCTGCAAAAATTCGACATAATGGTTTGAAGCGGTGATACAGAATCTCTCTACGGTAGCGAAAACGATAAGAAAGGATGAGGCGGTTATGGCGACATGCGACATGGTCATCATTGGTACTACATATGTCATCCTGAAAAAACTATTTTGTAATTAATAAATTAACGCTTTTTCTATTGGCAGAACAGAAATAAGTCGAAGTCCAAAAATAATTCATAGTTTCTTTTCCCTTACTTTTTGCATATTAAAAATTTTCTTTAGCTTTCAAAAAAAAGAATTATATTTAAAATGTAAACGTACCAAATTTTTTTCATGAAAAGCCATTCATTGTATTGACAGAGCACTTTTACAGACATTATTAATATATAAGTTAAACTAATAAATATATCAGTAAGTGCCAGAAGTAACAGATAGAGCGAATGACTGCGACGATGCTGTTTGGTAGTGATAAAAATTAAGAATAGGAAAGCATTCTCAACAATACTGATAGTACTAAGAGCTGAGCCAAGGATTGTTACGAGCCATAAGCGCTCAGTCAAATGTTTCGTGTCATTGAGATAGCATCTTGGTTCAAGTGTTGGCACTTCTTTAATCACATCAGGAATTGTTGATAGAATTGTAATCTCTGTAGCACTTGTGTCATTCCTGATTACACTAACACTGTTTAATTCCATCGTTTGCTAGAAAATCCTATTTTATTTTAAAATTCATTTTACAACTTAAAATTTGAAGCTTTCCAAGTTTATCTTAAAAATGAAATAGTAACAGAAGATGCCACAGATAATTCTTACAAAATTTTAAGATATGCATTGTGAAAAAAAAATAAGAGCTAATATGATAAACAGAAATGCTATGCTTTAATTAAATAAGATAATTAGAAGAAGTAAGCAGGGTACATTGCCATTCTCTTTAGCATCACCATCAAATGTTTTTACATTTTATCAAATGATACCAAAAAGTTCTTCATGCCATGTTACATTTACACATGTGATATTGACTGAGAGGAGATATTATTCTGGAAACGTATCTGAAAATTTATTTCCGGCAAGCTGGAATATTTCCAAAATTTTTCATTCCACAAATAAATTTACAAAGAAATATTAATTTCTAGGAACACTTTGCAAATTAGAAGAAAAGTAATTTTTAAGAATAACTATTTTTAGTTATATATCCAAAAAGTTTCTTATTTTCTTCAAAAACTATTTTCATATGTAAACAATTTTCACTGCGATCTGTCGAAGTCTTCCAACGAAGAATTGCTATTACTATCAACTATAATTAATTTGAATTAAATAACAGATTTGAGACTTATAAAAATATAAAAGAATTAAATAA